TAAAGAAAACGACGTTTTATAAAACTGACATTTAATTTTGACAAATTGTTGTGAAGTTGGTTACAGTTAGTAACATTGAATTTGTGTCACATTGACGTTTAACCTTTATTCAAAAACTTATTTAAAAAATAAATTTATGGAATCAATTTCAATAGTCGTGGACAAAGTATAGTATTCTACTCGCATATAATGAGCTATTATTCACTCAGGTTATTTATGCCACTCGCTACGCTCGTGACATAAACTTAACCTTCGTGAATAATAGCCTCATTATATGCTCATATAATAATATACTATAATCAATACTATGAGTTATAATGAACAAAATAATTCGGAATTTTCAGTTTCAATTTTAATTGGATTATTAATTTCAGTATAAACGCGAAACTAAAACGCCAATCCGTGGACCGTATAATGCTAACAAACAATCGAGATACATTGAATTAATATTGGTCGTAGATAATACGTTGTATAAGGATCTGGGGGAAAATAGCGGTAAAGTAGAAAAATACTGCAAGGATATCACCAACATAATCAATTCGGTATGTAAATGGCGAAATGAACCCGAGGCGATTCAATAACTAACTGCTTTTTTCTTTTTTCTTTTCTTTTCGATTATCAAAACAGTTGTACGCCCCATTAAACATATTCATAGCTCTTGTTGGTGTAGTCACCTGGAACGATGGTGACGAAATCGATATCGCATCCGATGGGGATGTTACTTTAGCACATTTTTTGCATTATAGAAGAGAAATTTTAATGAAATCACATCCGAATGATAATGCACAATTAATAACGTAAGTAAATAAGTTTAGAAAATAAAAGAAATTGTTTGAGTTAATTTTTTATTAGGAAAAAAACCTTCAATAACGGCGTAGTTGGAAAAGCTTTAAAAGGTCCTATTTGTACATACGAATATTCTGGAGCTGTCAACAGTAAGCATTCGCAACTTATCGGATTGGTTGCTGCTACAATTGCCCATGAAATGGGACACAATTTTGGTAACTTTTTCAATAAAAAATTCGTTACAAAATCTTAATTTATTTAATTTAGGCATGGAACATGACACCAATGAATGTAGATGTCCTGAAGAGAGATGTATAATGGCGCCGAGTAGTTCAACGATTCCTCCAAAACATTGGTCGAGTTGTAGTTTAGATTATTTAGCATTATCTTTCGAACACGGTATGGATTATTGTTTGCGAAATAAACCGGAATCTCTCTTTGGAAGTCCCGTTTGTGGAAATGGTTTCGTTGAATCCGGGGAACAATGCGACTGTGGTCTTCCAGACCACTGTAACAATTCTTGTTGTAACGCGACCACTTGTATGTTGAATGCTAACGCTAGTTGCGCTACAGGAGAATGTTGTGACCTCAATGTAAGTGATTTTAATAAGTTTTTTTTTAATTTAATTCAAATTTTTTAGACATGCAAACCCAAAAAAGCAGGAACGTTGTGTCGATCTAACGACATCGAATGTGATTTACCCGAATATTGTACAGGCCAATCAGAATATTGCCCAGATGATAATTACAAAATGGATACGGAACCTTGTAATAACGGAAAAGCTTATTGTTATCGAGGATTTTGTCGCACCAGATCTGATCAATGCAAATTACTCTGGGGAATTACCGGTAAATCTAGTGCTGATGAATGTTATAGACAAAATAGTAAAGGTGCTCGAGATGGAAATTGTGGCTACAACAAATTAAACCAAGTTTATTCAAAATGTCAAAACGAGTAAGTTAAAACACTTTATTAACAAACAATCAAATTTATACAATTTCTTGTAGACATGTACTTTGCGGAATGCTTCATTGCGTACATTTAAATGAAAGATTAGAATTCGGTATGGAATCAGTTGCAATTTTATCGCAAAGTTACATCAATATTAACGGTTCGATCGTGCCGTGTAGAACGGCTTTGGTCGATCTTGGCTTAAACCAAATCGATCCGGGTTTAGCACCCGATGGGGCAAAATGCGGCGATGGAAAAATGTGTGTAAACCAAAAATGCTTACCTGTAGCAAATTTACGAGCTCAAGGAAAAACTTGTCCGAACGATTGTAACGGAAACGGCGTCTGCAACAATTTGGGTCATTGTCATTGTAAAGACGGATTTGCCCCACCTTATTGCGATTATCCCGGCGTTGGTGGTTCCGAAGATAGTGGACCAGCATCAGATCCTAACGGTAAAAAAGTTTTTTTTAATCATTTAATTTTTTTAAAAACAATTTTTTTTAGCCCAAACGATGTTTGTGAAAGTGGTCTACATCATTTTCTTAGTTATCGTCCCAATTCTAGCGTTAATAGCGTTCCTGGCGTATTACACCAGACACAATTTGAAGTTTACCTGGTCGAAAACACCCTCAATGTACGTAAGGAAATTGAATTGTTGTAGTGGTAACACTTTTGCATGTTTTAAACGTAACGTTGGTGGCGGTACTAAATCTACACAACAACAACAATCGGATACAATAAATAGCACTAAAATCGATTCCCAAACGGACACTAAACGCCATTCGAAATTAGAAATTATTTTTACGAAGCTCGTTTCGACAACGAACAGTTCGATTAACGCCGAATCGGATAACGCGTTACAAGTTATCGCAGAACCACCCAAACGGCGAATGTCATTTAAAAATATCCGCAATTTAAAGTTAAACACGAGTTTACGCGTGCCACAAAAACGAAATTTGGAAAAAAAAAATAATGTCGAAGAGGCGCCGACTCCTCAAACTAGCGAAACTGTTGTTGACGAATATCCGATGAATTCCGTTAAAAATTTAACGAAGCAATTTAATTTACGGGATATTAACACTTAATTGTTTCTTTTTGTGATTCTGTGCATGTTTAGTTTTATGTGCTTCTTTTAGTGTTTTAATTACTTGTTTCATCTTAGAATAATAAAATTTTAAGAGATCAAATTGGTCTTGAGTCTTGATGAGAGATAAATAAGTTTATTGCTTATTCTTATTTGTGCTGTTTTCTTTTTAATTCGAGTAAATCAAAAATAACTATTTATGGAAGAATGTTTAATACCGATTTTGGTAAAATTCAATTAGCATCATCAACAAAATTAACAGATAACTAGTAAAGTTAAAAACATGATTATTTTGTATTGTTCAAGTTTTGTTCATGTTCAACTTTTTATTTTATTCACTTGGGCTAATACAAAATCTAACACAATGTTGATTGATGCGGGTTGATCTCCTGCGTAGTTCGTGGTATTGCGTCATCACCATCTGGGTGTACAGGGTGGTTCAAATTCGATGTCCGAATAGGCTACCTTGGAAACTATAAGAGTTAGAAAAAAAAGTAGCTTACCTGCTTTTTGTTTTTCCTCTAGAGGCCAAAATTGAAAATATCGTAAAACCAGCAAGTGCAATTATCTTGGTTATTATTATAGGTGGAATATTATAACTAAGACATTATATGGACACTTTTTTATAGAGAATTTGATAACAATTTTTGTTTTTTTAAATGGAACCATTGTTTATTCGCTTATTAAATATGGTTCGATAGGTCTATTTCTTATTGTTTTAGAATAAAGCTAAAAATAAACTTTTTTTTTGATGTTGTTGAAGAAATTAGATTTACAGTTTCCTGTAATTACGGTATTATAACTAAAAAAACATATTTTTCCAATCCAAAACAATGTGATCCATTAAATATTTCCGTATTAACCTTAGTTGCATTAGTTGGTGTAATCAACATAATTATTTGTTTATAAATACCAGAAAAATAATACCACGTAATTTACAAGAACTGTAAATTTCATTTCTTCGACGACACTACTATCCACTTTAGAGATCGATATCTTCGGAACCGCTCGATGGAAAAAATTGCGGCAAAGTTTATTGTAATCAGTGAACATTTCTGCGTATCACATGTTAATTTGGAAATTTTCGGGTCCGCGGTTTTTCTTTTATCGTGAGTTAAGTAAAAAAAGTACCCGATTTTTGAGAGTGCCAACAACTTTGTCTATTTTCTCCAAAATTATTTGACGACAAAAATTCAAATTTGAACTGGTGGTAAACCGATGTTTATTTTTCCGATATTCCATATAATTTCGCGGAAAATCGCTGTTATTTCGAAAATGACCTCGCGGTTTCAACCCTTGACTTTTTGCACGGATAGTAGTTTCCTGTAAATTACGGGGTATTATCTTTCTGGTATTTATAAACAAATAATTATGTTGATTACACCAACTAATGCAACTAAGGTTAATACGGAAATATTTAATGGATTGCATTGTTTTGGATTGAAAAAATATGTTTTTTTAATTTTTAGTTATAATACCGTAATTACAGGAAACTGTAAATCTAAATTCTTCAACAACATCAAAAAAAAAGTTTATTTTTAGCTACAACATCGAATTTGAACCATCCTGTACACACAAAGTACACCCTTGCACACCATACTACGAAAACTTGCAGTTTTTTTTTTATTTGTTGAAGATTTCACATTTCTGTCTTGCTTATTTGCTTTCTTGTGATCGAACAAAAGTACACCATGACTTTATGAACATACTTTTTTTTACGTATTAACAGTTGCTGTAATCAACATAATTATTTGTTTTTAAATACCAGAAAAATAATACCCCGTAGTTTAAATATCGCCCCGTAATTTACAGGAAACTGTAAATTTCATTTCTTCGACGACACTACTATCCACTTTAGAGATCGATATCTTCGGAACCGCTCGATGGAAAAAATTGCGGCAAAGTTTATTGTAATCAGTGAACATTTCTGCGTATCACATGTTAATTTGGAAATTTTCGGGTCCTCGGTTTTTCTTTTATCGTGAGTTAAGTAAAAAAAGTACCCGATTTTTGAAAGTGCCAACAACTTTGTCTATTTTCTCCAAAATTATTTGACGACAAAAATTCAAATTTGAACTGGTGGTAAACCGATGTTTATTTTTCCGATATTCCATATAATTTCGCGGAAAATCGCTGTTATTTCGAAAATGACCTGGCGGATTTCAACTTTTTGCACGGATAGTAGTTTCCTGTAAATTACGAGGTATTATTTTTTCTGGTATTTAAAAACAAATAATTATGTTGATTACACCAACTAATGCAACTAAAGTTAATACGGAAATATTTAATGGATTGCATTGTTTTGGATTAGAAAAATATGTTTTTTTAATTTTTAGTTATAATACCGTAATTACAGGAAACTGTAAATCTAATTTCTTCAACAACATCAAAAAAAAAGTTTATTTTTAGCTACAACATCGAATTTGAACCACCCTGTACACACAAAGTACACCCTTGCACACCATACTACGAAAACTTGCAGAGTTTTCCTTTTATTTGTTGAAGATTTCACATTCTATCTTGCTTATTCGCTTTCTTGTGATCGAACAAAAGTACATCATGACTTTATGGACACACTTTTTTTGCCCCTGTGTCTATAAGATAAGAAATTAGCAATTTTTGAAAAACTGGATTTTGACCAGCTTTCGCTTTATTTACTGAGTCCATGTTTGAGTTTGAATAATTGGATTTCAACTTCTATACACTAATTTATTATTAATATTTGATTATTAACATTAATATTTTCGCATGCATTTGCCAAAGAGTTCTTATCGATTATTTTTAGATCTCATTAAGTTTTATTAATTAATTTAATTAATAATTTATATTCTTTGTATTTTCATGTCATTTTATTAATTTAATTTTTTCCTTTTAAGTACTTAATAACATAACCGGTTGTTGCCAAATCTTTGTTTTGTGATTAAAACTGCCCAAATATATATTTTTTGATTTACTTTTCTGTGTTTTCTTATTTAGCTTATTAAAAATCGCATGCTGCTTAATGCTTGTTCCTATTTTTCTCATCAAAAAAATTAAGCATAAAGCTTACGCTTTTTTTCAATTTTCAACAGGAGCAACAAACCAGTCGTGAAACCTCGAACGCCGCCGTATCAACAAAAAACGCCAAAACGGTCCACAGAAGACAACCACTCCCTTTTAACGGAAGAACCTTTGAAAAACGACTTTTTCGGTCATTTCAACGGGTTTACGATTTCGCCAAAGAAAACGGAACCCATTCGACCAGCTCCTCCTGTACCTGCAACCCCGGTAGCACCACCATTTAAAAGCCCAAGCTTCAACAGAACGAGCAACGTGAATAAACCAATTGCGCACATCGTTCCTCATAAACCAATTAATACCACCGCTCCAAATTCACTTACAACAGCCGTTGATGTCATTAACGCAACTACAATAGCTCCAGCTTTACCACCATTAAACCCAGGGTCGAATCCACGACCGATAATCTCTTCGCCGATATTAGAAAATTCAACTTGTACGGCGAAAGAATTAATATCCCCGTTGAAAAATGCAGCGCCCAAATTGCCTTCGAGACCGGCACCGGAAGCGCCACCACCGATAAAAGAACGACCTTTATCGGCTGATGTAACACCTGTAGTTACGTTTGCGGATGAGAAGAAGGTGTTAAATGGTAATGCTTTGAACCGAATCGCTTCGTTTTTGTCGAAACAAACCGATAAGAAGCCCGTTATTATAAATAACACAAATTCTTTGCCGAGGAACAAAAAAATCGATAAATCAACATTGAGGACGTTGGAAATTTCGAATCCAATCCCACAAAGTGAGATTAAAGCGGAAAATGCTCTCCCCGCTGGGGAAAACAGCAAAGCTGTTGTTATGCGAGCACAAAGTATGCGCCAAACAAATTCGACCCGACCGGCCATTCCAACTTTTGGTTCGATGCGACAAACTAATGGATTTAAACGCCCTGTTAGTATTCCATCGGGAAATAGACCAAAAAGTCCACCACCCCCAAGACCCCCAGTGCCAGATTTAGACGACAAAAATAAGAATTTCATTAAAATCCCCGGATTACCAGGTTACCAAGAACCTTGTACCGACAAAAAAGCGAATCAATATGACGATTGTTTAAACGAAGCTAAAAACAAATCGCCTTCAAACGACAATATTTACGCAGTAATCGAAGAATCACCAACAAACACGAGTTGCGTTACTTCACCAGAGTCGAAGAAAAGCTTGGGGATTCCAAGCAATTCGGGATCGAATGAAAGTTTTGGGTTATTAGGTGAAATAGTTTCTGAAATACAAAATCGCAACTTTGATTCTATTTATTCCACTTCGACTTTGGCAAGGAAGAAAAAAGAGCAAGAAGAAATTGATAAACTTAGCAAAAAAGATGATACTTATGTAAATACGTCATCTATATACGCTAAATCCCCAGAAAGCGTTTATAGTAATATGAACAATATAAAATCGTGTGATAGTACTAGTTCTAGTGGCTACATTCATCCATCAGCAATAAATACGCCTAAGATTGAAAAGAAGCTTGAAACAAAAATTGAGCCAAAAATCGAAACAAAACCACCAATGAGTACATTTAAAGGCGATGTAAAAGAAGAGGAAACAAAAACAAAACCAACAACCACAAAAACTAGATTAGATCGACAACCAACTCCCCCAAATTTACGAACAAGAAAACCATCACCAACAAGACCACCAAGTAGTCAAAGCATTAATAAAAATACAATAAAATCAACTACACCAAAACCAACCTCGAATAGTCCAGATTTAGTGACTAGTTGTTCAAATAAAAAGCCATTGGGAACGAAACCACCAGATGTTTTAAATAATAGTGTTAAAAAGCCGGCGACGATTCCCATAAAACCCAACCTCGTATCTAAAGGTGTATCAAAAGTGAATAAAACGGTTAGTTTAAAGACTGACGTTAAACCCGAAACAAAATCGGTACCTAAAGTAACAAAAACTAATTCGGAATCAATAAAATCGATGCCCACCGGTGCGAGATTGGCGGCGAAACAACAATCGACGGTGGCTTCGTTGCAGCAAAAGTTTGAAAATAAACCACCTATAAGTGCTAAAACGGTAGCTTCTAAGAGTAAATAAAAAAAATCTTTGTAAATATCTATTGTTTAAATTTAAGGCTATTTATGAACTGAAAGTATAACAAAAGTTTTTTTTCTTAAAAAGCTTTTGATCTACTGTGTAGATGAGAATTTATCAAAAAAAATCGATATAACTTATACACGTCCTAGTCTCTAAGTTATTTTTTCAAAGTATTTGCGTTGGCTGCTGCCCTCTTTTTACAATCAGACAATCACATCTGAATATTTTGTACGTGACTACTATGTAAGTTAGACGAAACGAAGGAAAAAGAGGAAAAACGATTAACTCTTTTCGTTTAATTTTCATTTCTTTGTACATATATACCAAAGAGCGTAAATTTATTATTGACTATATTAGCGCCGTGTTTATATAGAATTGCGTTCCTTCGACATATTATTTATAAGCGCGATCTTAGTTGTTGTAAGACTCTCTCATAACTTAGCCCGTTTTTTTTTAGTAAAGATGATTGGACCCTTTTGTAAATAATATAAAAGTGCATTTATTATTGTCGATAATAAAATTTCTGTACTGTTAAAAATATTATTTTTTAAATAATTAAAATGTTTTCAATAACGATGAAGTGATGATTTTTACAGAGTGAAAATAGTTAACATAAAAAGATGCACTTAACGTGTTTAAGTGCTATTTCGTGAAGATAATATTGAGTGACTTGGTAATTTATATTTTCAGTTGACCTTTTTATATATTAAAATGAGGTAGGTATTATAATTTTACTTCTATTATGTCTAGTTAACGCATTGATTGACATAAAAATCCTTTCTTAAACATTGAAGATTTATGATAATATAAGTTACATAGGTATATTGTAAGTGTAGTGTAAATTAGTAATGAATAATAAAATTGCTATATAGCACAACTCTCGTTTTAGCAGGAGTTGTGTTCCAACATATTGGTTGAATATAATTGGACCGCGTTATGAATCAATGTGAAGTGACTCAAAAAACACGTTACAAATAAAAAGAAAGTGCTGAAAAGTGACTAACACTAGATTAACTTCAGTTATAGAACTTCTATTATATGATAACTAACTTCAGGTTTAAAATGTCAACCTCAATTTTGACATATTTGTAATCTTTATTAAAAATCCTTTAAAATGAGTACAAACACGACATATTTATCTTCAATATTAATGAAGTTATGGTCAACTTCCGGTTTGAAATGTCAATGTCATTTTGACATATTTTTCATTTTTATAAAATGTCTTCTTATTTGTCTCAAAAACAAATTTATAATAAAAAAATAAAAAATTAAGGTTGGTATTAATATTTAAAAATTAAATTGTTATCTTCATTGTTGCCAACTTCGGGTTTATTGTTTCATATTCTAACTTTTTTGTTTTTTTAAATAAATGCGTCGTGTTTGGACTCATTTTAAAGCTTATTTTATAAAGATTACGAATATAA